GCCTGCCTGCCTGCCTGCCTGCCTGCCTGCCTGCCTGCCTGCCTGCCTCCCTGCCTCCCTGCCTCCCTGCCTGCCTTCCTGGCTGACTGGCTGCCTGCCTGCCTGCCACCCTACCCTTCCTGCCTGTCTCACATACACACAGAAACATCTCCATGCGATCGTCTGCAAACGGATGTTTCTCGGCAGCGCTGAATTTGCAGCAGTCAAGTTGCTACAGGCATGGTGCAGGAGGATTCAGCCGCTGCCTCGTCATCCCTGCCTTGACCTTAACGCCATGGCGTCAGTTCGGTACTGCGGGCTCATACAGGCGCATCGATCGCTACAGCGACTGGTCAAGGCCTCGACCAGCTCGACGATTCTCTTCGTGAGGACGTTCCCAGTCCAGGAGCAGACGCTCTTTCTCTCTCATTCGTTGCCCCGGACGGCAGAGGAGAAGGAGGAGGAAGGGGGACAGAGACTTGCTGCAAAGAGGATACTTGCTGAGGTGTGCTGTTTGATGTCTCGTTGATTTGTTGACTTCTTCTTTCAAGTTGTACAAAATGTACATGCCTGAATTCATCGTTGGCGTGGAGAAAGTCTCCTTCAACATGCTGCAAACTCTATCTCGAGTCCGATATTGCAACGTTCTGCAAGCTTCTATCAAGATTGTCAGCTACACCAAAGCAGGTTGTTTGAGGCGTTTCTGTATGCCGCAGTCTTTCCGCTGCATGCTCTACTCCTGCACTCTCTTTCTGCCCCTTCCTTTCCTGTTCCTTCTTAGTTTTTCCTCTTCTCCCACCGTTTGTACCCTCAGTGAATTCATCATCATCATCATCATCATCATCATCATCATCATCATCATCATCATCATCATCATCATCATCATCTTCTTCTTCTTCTTCTTCTTCTTCTTCTTCTTCTTCATCTCTTCCTCCTCCTCCTCCTCCTCCTCCTCCTCCTCCTCTTCTCATTCTCCTCATCTTATTTCTCTGTCACCAGCGGTCATTCGCTTCAAGTACAACACGTCTCCTCCTGTGGGCTCATCGCTCCTCCGTTTCTTCCCTTCCGCCTCGTCCTCCACCAGGCTCGCCAACCATGCCTGCCACGTCGCCAAGGACTGCCTGGCAGCTGGGAAGTTCAACAACGCTTCTCAGCTCCTCCAGCTCGCAGCTGACGACATCGAGCTAGCCCTTGCTCGCAGTGAGACATTGCTCCTCCTTCCCTCGCATCCTGCTGCTGCTCCTCTCCTGCTGATGCTGCTGCTGCTGCTGCTGCTGCTGCTGCGGCTCCTGCTCCTGCTCCTTCTACTCCTCCTGCGGCTCCTGCTTCTGCTCCTGCACCTGCTGCTACTGCTCCTGCTCTTCCTCTTCCACCTCTTCCTGCAAGCTGCTGCTGCTGCTGCTGCTGCTGCACCTGCTCCTCCTCTTGCTCTTGCTCTTGCTTCTGCTGCTGCTGCTGCTGCTGCTGCTGCTGCTGCTGCTGCTGCTGCTGCTGCTGCTGCTGCTGCTGCTGCTGCTGCTGCTGCTGCTGCTGCTGCTGCTGCTGCTGCTGCTGCTCTTCTCTTCTCAAACTTCTCTCAGAGCGGTACAGAGATGAAGTGAAGGCTTACATGAAGCTGTCGCGGGTGCTGCCCAAGTTTTGCAGGAGATTTTATTCGCCTTTAGGAAGACTGAGAATGAAAGTCCTGGAATTGAACAGAGCGATTGATCGAGACGTCATGATGGGAGTATCCAGCAAGGAGGTAACAACGATATTGTTGTTTTCAACCGAAATTCTTGTTTGTTTGTTTGTTTGTTTGTTTGTTTGTTTGTTTGTTTGTTGATGCTTGTCTCAATGACAACGTTTGTTTAGCTGTTGTTGGCAAGCAATCTTTGAATTGTTTTGCAATCTGTCTTCATACTTTTTGTCTTTCTCTGTCCTCCGCATACTCCAACTCTTCCTCCTCCTCCTCTCATCCTCATCTTCATGCATTTCTCTACCCTATCTCTTTCCTCTACTGTATTTTCCATCCAGTGCTCGTGCTCCTGCTCCTGCTCCTGCTCCTGCTCCTGCTCCTGCTCCTGCTCCTGCTCCTGCTCCTTCTCTTCATTGCAGACGTTAGCAATCTGTGCTCTATCAACTTCTAGCTTGACTGCAGTCTGTCAGCTCTCAGTGCTCCGATCTAGACTCGAATCCTTCAGGGGTGAGATGAGGCAGATAAAAGACAACA